GACTTCATACTGTGTACATAACAATAACTTTGTTGTCATTCCACTAGTCTATCTGTCTCGGCATCGTCGGAGCGTGAGGGCAAAAGGAATTCCATGAAGTTTTGATACCTCAATTAAAGTGCGTCTGTCTCCTGTTATCTCATTTAGTCGGTAGTCAATGTGATTGGCATAATCAGACATGCCTGATTGGTGCCTCCCATTTAATTAATCAGTCTCACTGTATCATCACCTGTGGCTCATTAGAGTAATTAGAGAGAATTAGTCAGATAGAAGGCCTCTCTCTGCCTGCAGACGAGTGGAAGGAATTTCATTAGGAGAGATGAACACACACACGTACACCTTGGGTCGGATGGCCAGTGGTAACAGGATTTGTTTACCCGTGACTGTTATCGGTGATTAGTATTATTACCACAGTTGTAGGACAGGGAGAGAATCATTTCCGTTTGGCCCAACCTCCCCTCCTAACCGAGAACATAGCTCCCTATGCCAAATTTCACTAGGCTAACATGTTAGCAGATTTCCTCTTTTGAAACGCAGTTTAAAAGAATGTGGAAAGACTGGGCTACCCAAGTTACTGCAGCGGCCTGTCTGTGCATTCATGTGAGAGCACACGCGTGTGGAGCAGTGTGCGGGAGGCTTCTTGGCCAAGTCGGTGTTGATGTCTCTCTAGGGAGTGTTGGCAATCTGTTCCAATCGTCTTTACAGCTGACCAGACGACCAAATGAACCAGGACAGGGACTGCTGCTGTGGGCCAGTCCAGCCAAGGGAAGCAGGGGCTGTTACAGCAATCACACAGACATTACAGCACACTTAATGCTCCCCTGCACACACCATATTCCATCCTCTGCTTAACTAGACAGTGCGGTCCTAACCAGCCATTGCAAGATTTTAAAATAGTGCTGAAGTGAACTTGAAATGGTTAAAATAACTAATCATTGGTTAATTAAACAATTTTTTAGATCTAGAAAGTAAAACACTTGAAAGTCATGCCGAGGAGAGCCAGAGAGGGTTGACCTCAGAGACCCAGGCCCGGGCACAGAGTACACAAGTTTTTCATGCATTTTGACCGGGGCTCTGTGGTGCACTGCAGGCGTTACATTGGAGCATCAACACGAGTGCTAGTATTTGAACCTTGCCTCTGCAATGAATTATATTTCTTGTTGTTACATTAGTCATGTACTGTGAAATGTAGACTTCCTGCATTTGCATGTTGGATTTTGTTAATTAGTTTCTTCGTGTCTTGGCTTCTTCTCCAAGCTGTCAATTTGTAAGGTTTATCAAACTAGCAAGATGTTAATCATTGATGTCAAACATGATAAAAAAAAAAATTCTCAGTGGTATGCCAGCTGGCAGAGCCCCTGTAGAGCAGCCTGGCCTAAAGTTAACAGTATTCACATCCAAAAGTTTGGAGTTTGATGAAGCAATGCTATATTTACTTGCTGCTATGGGATGCTGCTTCATAATTCTGAATTAACCCCGTTATAAATGTTTACTCATCTTAACTTAATTAAGGATCCATAGATATGCATTATTTTAATTTTGATTCTGAAACGTTATAGTTATTCAATATTTAACAAGACATGTTTGCACTGCTTACCTCTTTGATCAAACATGCTCAGTCCGAATGTAATACCTTTAGCTGCCTCTGCACACAGCATGGCTGGATGTGTTAACTGTTGTGACGTTAGATGGGCAGTGACATATGTCATCTTTCCAGTCATTATAAAAATGAAAGGTCTTCATCTTTCTATTTAGCCATCTATTAATCTAGCTATCTGCTATCTTTAGTCAGGGCACTAATATTCAATTGCGATGTGGATGCCAGCATGGATCAGGTAGCCGGGCTGATCCTCACTGCAAAACATTCAGACAGATGATACATATTGTAGGTCCCCGTTCTCATATTAAAGTAAAGCAACCCGTTTTTACAGTGTAACTGTATTAACAGAAATTTTGTAACCTTGAGCATATCACCTTGTGAAGAAGTTGCATCTGGTTTTCCTATGTAAATGTTTTGCAACCAGTTTCAGAGGAAGCAGAGAGTCAGTTTGACATAATTAATTCAGTTCACATTTGGCTATTAAAACATTTTTTGCATAGGAAAAAGCCTGTTGCAAACAATCTTTTAGAAAACTTGTGGTGTTTTATAGTTAGTCGACACAAAGAAAAAAGGTATAGGGTGAAACAGAACCTCTCCTGTGACCATAGCTTGAGTCAGCACCTTTGTTACATGTAAACTGACCCGCGTTCTACAAAAAACAGGGTTCAGCAGAACAAATACCCAAACATATTTGTTCAGTATTTCACTTAAGGTACTTAAATGTGACAACCTATCGTGCTTATATGTGGCATAAAGTGGGAATAGGCGCGGTCCCCTAATGGTCGGCGAGATTTGATGTGTGTGAACAACAAAGGGTAGGCAGCAGGGATTGTGCACTTTCGGATGTTACGCTCTATCAGCAAGATGAGTGTAAAGTCTGCCCGTGTCTGCTGATGTGGGCAAAGAGTTTGCTGCATAGTCAAAATCTGACTGAGGCTAAGAATCCTTTTTTTTTTTTTTTTTTTTAACTGAGACCATGCCCATAATTACTTGCCCACTTGGCATTGAATCAATCCTCTTTCATGTGTGATGTGTTTATTTAGCTTAGCAGTGAGAATTTTTTTTGGAATGGGGATTTGGTAACACATTGGGATGTGTGAAGGGTTTTGAAAAGGGATTGGACAGAATCAAGGGCGTCAGGGATTGGCACATGACCTCATAAAGCAAGACGATAGTGGAGGACTGTGTTTATTTCTGTTTGCTCTGAAACGGAGCACACTAATCAATTCATAGGAATAGATTATTGAATTTCTTTCAACGCTTGGAAAACTAGTTGAGGATAAATGTACCTGAAGTTTGCATATTTACTCATTTGCATATCAAAGATAAATCTTGCAAGTTTAATAAAGAGGCTGTTGTTTTCAAGGTTATTTTCATTTTGAGCTGTGCTTTTCTTTCACCGTCAATAGAAAGAGGTTGTATGAAGGTTATTTCCTTTTTTCTAAAAACTCATAGCTGATATGAGAGCATTCTTTAGAGGCAAAAGACAGCACACACACACACACACACACACTCTCTCTCTCTCTCTCTCTCTCTCTCTCTCTCATATCTCTCTCTCTCTCTCTCTCTCTCTCTCTCTCTCTCTCTCTCTCAAATCACGAATCTGTACTAATCGGCCATGGCATTTAACTTGCTTGGTGAATCAGATTATATACTCTATATTTTCAAAATACATTCCTAGTGTTTAATATCACAGCTTGAATGATTAAAGCCATTATCTCCTTGACTTTTTGGATATACCTAAAATTGTCCTGGCTGCTGCTGATGCCTTCTAAATTCTGATCAGGCTTTAAAATCAAGTGTTCCAGTGAGTTATATTTTTGAATGATTTAAAATGTATTTGCCCTTAAGGCCTAATACTTTACATTTTGATTAATATCTGCCAAGTTTAATGTTAGTATCTTAAACCAACTGGGCCTTATATCCATGTTCCTGTAGCTAATCTTTACCAATATAATAATTACACCTCTGTCCATGAACTGGAGCATTCATTTTTTAACAATTAATTTAACGTGATTAAAATGTCGAAGGTTCCTCCTTTCATCAAGCTTCTGCGCACGCTCAAATTCACTAACAGATAGTGCAGCTGCTCCATGGCCATGGGCAGGCAGGCTGCTACATCAACTGCTCCATGGGCAGCAAGAGCAAGATGGCATGTAAGCAAGCGAGCATTTTTTATTATTTTTTCAAACATCCTTTGCTAATGCGTAAAATCCATTGCAGTCAAAAGTCGACCAACATTTGTTATATTTTTTTAATGGTTTGTGGATAAAACAAGATCACGGCTGGTCAGGGAATTAAACTTAATGCTGATGGGGGGGAAAAATCTACTAATTAGTACTTGATCACACTATTTCTTTAGAGGGTTGTATTTTCTTGTGTGTTGGGGGTGTGGGCGATGTGAGGAGGTGGGCATGTGTGCGTGAGTGTGTTTTGGGACCTTGTCAGCAGACTGAGCCACAAGGGCCCCTGTGGTAATGTGTGTATTAAATGATTAGTGTGTTAGTTAGCATAACGGCCCTTCAGCAGCGTTTAATCACTCTCAGGGGTGGGCGGCCTCACAGGAGGTGGATGGGAGGGGGCAGACGGAAAGGGGGAGGCGGAGTAAAGGGAGAAGAGAGATTTAAACGGGGGAGAAGGTTCTACTGGTTGAATGGGTGAGTGGATGATCTGTAGAGAGCACGAAAAAACGAGGGGGAAAAAAAAGGAGTGAGCGTGACAGGAGGCAAGAATCCAACAGAAACATAATCCAGCAACACTCAGCAGAGAGAGATACAATCTTTACAAGGCCTGAACGTCTTGTTAATGTCAGCACTTGGCCCATCATCTGGAAGTCCCATAAATAGCTATTAATAACAATGCCAAATGGATATGGATAAAGGCGGGCCCTGCTTCACTCTTGACAACACTGATGTTGTTGATAATTGTGCAGTTGTAATGGGGAGGGGTCGGGTTGTCTGGTGCAGAGTAGTTAATAATTGTTGTGAACTGTGTGTGGAGTAGTAGTAGTCAACTCCTGCAAGCGCTGTCATGCCCGTCACTGTGGTAAAGAGATGACTGACAGGCTGAATGGCTCCAGATACGGCCTGCGCTGGTAGCAGATCAAACTATCGGTGTAGACGGGTTTTTCTTGGCGGGGCATCGAAGTTGTGGTACTGCTCCCAGCCTCTGCTGCTGCGATGAACTTGCCAAGTTCAGCTGAGGCAGGATGGGTAGTCTGCACTGCAGCACGCCAGATGGTTCAAGTAGTCTGCTGTCTAGTCAGAAAACTGCCCCTGACTTTTTGTTCTCAATGATAACAACAGCGCTGTTTATAACGACTAAGGCAGTAATGGTAAATGTGATAATATTTGCTGCTCTCTTCTTAGCAAACTAAAAAAGTTGTGTGTTTGTTTTGCAGAAAGAACTAGACGCCACCGCCACACAGCTTGCCAACAGACAGGACGAGAGTGAACAGTCCAGGAAGAAACTAATCGACCTGAGCCGCGAGTTCAAGAAGAACACACCAGAGGTGAGTAATCAGATATTCACAGACACGCACCAACACACACACACACAGCCATGCATATATCCCACAATTATTTTGACAATCATAGTGTGCCTCGTTGTTTCTCTCTGTCTCTTCTCCTCTTCAGAAGTGTAGACGTTATTATTTACTGAGAAAGCAGGGGAGGAGGAGGAGACGGCGCAGAGATGCGGGCTTGGCTCCCAAAAATAGTCTCCATTAGTTTCCCTGAAATCCTAAAGAGACAAAACAGAAAACCCCTCAGGAGTTTGTATTATCTGACCTAGTTTTTTATGCGTGCAGAAAGTGTGGTCCGTGATGGTGTGTGTGTGTGTGTGGGGAAGAGAGAGAGAGAGAGAGAGAGAGGCAGAGCAGGAGGGAGGGAGAGAGAGAGAGAAAGAAAGAGAGTGTGACAACACTACTAAGTGGGATCAGGAGGGAATTCTGTCCTGTTCCTGTGTTCCCATCACTCCTCCTGGGAATATTTGTTTCATCTCTGTTACCAAGGCAACGCATTTTTAACCACACAGCGAAAACAAAGTATTGTTGTGTTATTATTGGTAATGTCACCATGGTGAATTATTGATGGCAGTATGAATTATGTATGAACGGAGTAGACTGTGGATAGAAAATCGCCAACTCTCTGTGGAGTTGACAGTAGGCCTATTATAGTTACCACAGGGTGAGGATTGTGACGATTGACTTCAGCTTGTAGCCCACCCGGCGTAGAAGAACATACACTAGAGGAAACTGTACCTGCATACAGAAGATGTTAATTTCACTTTGCCCTACACATTCACCTCTAATCTCCTTTTCAAGTTTAACCACATGCCTTGCAACACACAGAGGTGCACACACACACACACACACACACACACACACACACACACACACACACACACACACACACACACACACACACACACACACACAGAGAAAACATGCAGAGAAGCAGAGGCTCGCGCAAAAACACACAGAGGCAGATAGCCTAGATCAGAGAACAGGACACACACATTCATCAGTGTAACAAGGCTGTGATTTAGGAAGGCTCCTCTGGCGTCTGTGTGGCCCCTGGCATCTCCCTGGTATGTGGAGGAGGAATCTGAGCCAGGCCAGACGAGCGACAGGATTCATTACAGGGCTGTAACGGGCTCAATAGGAATCGGCATTAAAACGCCTGCAGTTTGGAGGTGTATTGGCACCAAAGATGCCTACTAAATAGGCTGGTTCATAACGTGTGATGGCCGGATTAAAAATGCCTCAATCGTCCTGTGTGCATTCACAGGGCTGTGTTTTCTGTCGTGTCCTGGCTGTGTGCGTGGTTGACCAGCCTATAGAGCGAGCTGTCAGCTCTCTGTGGTCTGCACCAGTCAGTGGAGATCACAGTCACATCAGATCAGACTGCATTAGGCTGAGCGGGAGTCCGTCTCTGATCCATTATTCAACAACTAGGAGACCAGCCCACGTTGACGGTGTCTAGTCTGTTGAGCTGTACTCGACGTGAACTGCACTCATGGTCTGCATAATAACACGCACACACAGACAAGCTTTTGTAGCATTTTAAAAGTAGTGCAAAGAAATGCACGTGCAAACAAAGTTTTCATAATTCATCAGTACTGACACACTGTTGGAATTTCTTTTTAGGCTACATCTTACTGTGCTTCCTAAGTTGCCTGAATTATTCATCCAGTTCTTAATTTCCTTTTACTTAGTCAAGGTTCCTATAGCACACTGTTATGAAGGAAAGGGTGGGAATGGTTGTAGCATGTCCCAAAGATTGCTAGCCAGAGGCAGCGGTAGTAAAACAACTTGGTGTGTACTTGTGTGTGTGTGTGCACGTATGCACACACTCACGTTTGTGTTTAGCTTCAGGGCAGACAGACAGCGAATGGGAGTTCCATACTCCCCGGAGGATTCCTCGGGCTGGCCTGTCTGCTGTCTGCCGGCAGCTCACACACCAGCCATCCATCTCCCGCTGCCTGGCCCCCTCCACTCCCCACACACACACACACACACACACACACACACACACACACACACACACACACACACACACACACACACACACACACACACACACACACACACACACACACACACACACACACACACACACACACACTCTGACCATGGTGTCTGTGTGCATTGTTATGTTATATGGTCATAAATCTTTGGAAGTGGTGGGGGCAGGGGGGAGGAGCGCTGCAGAGTGGACCAACAGGGTTCAGAGCTGGGCTGAGACAGCAGTGGCTCGCCTCTGCATGTTATTTGAATGTGTTTGTTTTTGTGGGTTCTGTGTGTTTTCTTGAGTGTGTGTGTTTGTGCACAAGCTTGTCAAACTGCACTGTTTAGACTACTAAAATGCAAGATAAATGATAACGATAAAAACATTAAATGTCTAAAAATCTAATAACATGAGGAATTACATTTAACTGTAAATCAATACAGAAACTTAAAATTAATATGGAATTGTAGCAGCGCAGTTATGAGTTATACAAAAATAATAATCATTGCAGGATTATACTGCATTAGATTGCACAGAGGTTTCTTTTTTAGCCATAAGTATTAACATACGTTTTAAAACACAATGATCATAACACAGGTCACAAACATGGATACTGCTCACCAAGGTTTGGCCCTGACAAAACAATAGAAACTAAACTTAAAGAAAATACAATTGAAATAAAACAAGAACTTAGTTTAAGATCGTTAAACAAACCGAAAGGAAACTGAATCCTGAAATTGAAAATTAGAATATAATCTAAATCTAATGCAAATGACAAAACGGACAGCAGTATGGTGGTTTTTTGGGGGGTGTCGATTTGTGTGTTTATTGTGTGTGTGTGTGTGTGTGTATGTGAGAGAGAAGGCAGAGCTAGGAGGGGGCCGGGGGTGGAGCTGGGGGCGGGGTGGAGGTCATTATCCCCAGCAGGGGAATATTGAATTGGCCCAGACAAACAGCCACAGCGACCCCTGATGAGGTAACAATGGGGCAGGGTCACCGAGGTCATGACCTGTCCTCAGCCCCAGACAAGCGGCCTGTCTGGACCAACCTGGGATTAGGCTGGCCCCAGACACTGGTCCCAGACACTGGTCCCAGGTCAGTTTGGGATGCACGCTCTCTGCAGCATCGGTTAGGCTTTTAGGCGGAGGTTTCTAAAAGGCGCAGAGTCTCCCGAGCACACATCTGTCGGTGCCCTACTTCACATCTTCATTAGGCAGCTTTTTGAGTATGTGTGTATCCACAAACTGTGCAAATGAAATGGGCTTGTACAGAATGTCCTATTCTACCACGCTTTTTACAGTACGCTCCAGTTCAGTTTGTCCGGATGTAGGCTCAGCTAACAGCATGGTGATTTGCATGTTCCCCTGATACATACTCGACTGGCTATCTAATCTGAAACCGCTGACTCGTACTGAAAAGTCATGCAATGGGACTCGCAGGATAAAAAACATTTGCTTTATAGTAAAAACTTTGTGCGTGGAGACAATTTGTATTAACTGTAGTCCTCATTCACTCCCTGTCTCACACACACTAGGGGCGCCTCTGGGTGGCCCAGGTGGTGCTGCACCTGTTCTTATGAGAAACGCAGTCCGCTAGAGCACCTCGGGGTGCAAACCTGGCCTCCTCCCTACCCTCATGTTCATCATTCGCTCATGCATCACTCATTATTCATCGGCAGTTGCAAGAACGTCCGCTAGTGGATTTCAATGATTGACCCAATGCGGTCTTCTTCTATATCACTCAGGAGGTTTTCACAGCTTCTGGACATCTCTGCCACATACTCCTGTGTATTATCTGTTGTTAAAGGAATGCAAATGATCGGTTCATTATCTGCTTTTGGAGAATCGCTAACTCTTCCTCTCTTTGTCTTTTAGGATTTCCGGAAACAGGTTGCCCCTTTGCTCAAAAGCTTCCAAGGAGAGGTGAGTGTTGACATTCCTATTGACACACTAGTAGACACACATACTCTAGCACAGCATTTATCTTTGCATTTTATAAAGCCTGTTTGACATTCGCTGAGTGGTCTTGTGCCTTCACTCGGTGCCCTTCTCTCCTTATTCCGCCTTGGTCTTTCCTCTTTAATTGTCATCTCTTCCCTCTCTCCTCTCTTCTCTCTGCCATCTCCTGTTCTTTCTCTTACCACTTCTCATTTCCTCTCTTTCCTCTCCCTCTCTTCTTCGCTCTGCTCTGCTCTTGATTTTCTGTCCTATTCATGAAGTCCTGTAGCCCGAGGGTGTGTTTAAATTGCATCCTGCAAAATAAAAAAAGGCACCACAAAACCCCGGCTCTAGCCAGTCACAACTCACCAATGCTATTTCCTCAGACTTTGTTTGTCTGCATGATTCGGTGGGGTTATTTGTTGATCTGGTGATTCAAAAGCCATTTTGGTTCATTGTGGCTCATATATTTACTTTCAATTTAATGTAGCGCCTTAGGTTTCTATGTACCTTGACCTATAAGAGGTGACTTTTGTGTGTGCTATATTATACTCCCACAGTTCGCCTCTATCTCCTCCTCCATCATTTTGGCCTATTTCCATCATGACTCCTCCTGTCTGGCAGCCACGCATTTCCAGTTCACTCCCATATGTGAAAGTCAGAGGGTAGGAGTGGAAGCGGCTGGTTTAGACTGGGGCGTTATTTGGGGTTGGAGTGGGTGGACATTAGCTCAACAGTATCTCTTCGCTATAAACACACAGAAACACACATGCTCGCAAACAAAATCATCTCGATAGATAGTGACAGGGTTTCTTAGCTACTGGCCATAGAATATTACAGTTTAACACTGGGTTAGTTTCCATATTCTTGTGTTAGAGCAGCAACCACAGCCAGTGGTTATGTAAAAATGCTGTAATTTATAGTGGTCCCACCATGTTCTGCTGATGATCCACAGTCTATTTAGAGAATAGAAACGGCAGCAATATAATTGTGGCTTTGTCAGCTGTTTCCACCATCCTCGTGTTGACACACCTCGACGCCGTGCACACTAGTACACGCTGAGACACATAGTGGGTGGTCGCGGAACTGAGAAAGACATTATCTTATGATTATTGAGATAATACTGTACACCCGCGCCAGTCTCAGAGCAGCCTATCAATCAGTCGACTATTTTGCGCGCTTGCATGCCACAACACGAGCAGCTCTGAGAATGTGTAATTTTAGCCTGGCTTTGTTTGCTTACCCCTCCGTGCTTTGATCAAGGACAAGACAGGCACCAGAAAGCAGAGGGTCTTCCTGTTGAACTCATCCTTAGGCTTTTTACCCTGTGAGCCTGAATCTTTACTAAGTGAATGTGGAACTCGGACAGAACAATAAAAAGTTTTATCCCAGGAACTTGGAGGTCTTGATACCGTGTTTAATCTTTGTCATTGAAAGGTGGATGCCCTCAGGTCACAATTATTACCAATAACAGTACTGTTTCCACAAGGCCTTAGTCTGGTAAACGGGTTATGTGTGTGTGTGTATGTCGCATGCTCAGTGTTCCTTGTTGGTCCATCGATCAGATAAGCTTTTCCATTATCCAAGGCTTCAGTCTCTGCTTCCCATAGCCTCCCCTTATCAGACTCCACTGGGGCCACACACAAACATGCACATACATGCACACACACACACACTCACACACACACTCCCAGGTCAGCCTGATGCCCTTCACACACTATGGGTTAGATAGGGGAGCGAGGCGGTGCTGAGTGATGGTGGCACAAGGTGCTGACGTGTGTTTGTGTGTGTGTGGATGTGTCAGGGATACCTTCTGCAATTGCAAGCACTTCTCATTGGTAATGCACTGATACTGGTGAGGTATCATTTGTGTCACTTCATTTGTTTTGCTTGGTCTGTGTGTGCGTGTGTGTGGGATGGGGGCAGGGAAGCATGTAATAGCAGATGTCATTGGGATTGGTTGAAAGAGCTGCAGTTTGGAACAGCAGGGTTGTATTTGCAAATCCTGGGTGGTCTTCTAATGGCTCTGGTCCTGCAGTTAACCTGCCTCTAACTGTAGGGTGTGTCCTACATTAAATGCCTATTTCCTGCCTCCCATGTTGGGCTATATAAAGCGGCTGTACCACTGACCTTGGCCCAGTCATTGTACAGTCACGCAGCCAGCTCCCTTCATTGCCATCGGCAGATCATTTTGTGAGCGTGTATTTCTTCTCTATCATGAGATTGTGTTGTGGTGCTCTGATCACATATATGTATATATTTACACGCACACACATTTTGGCACTGATGAACAGGTTTGGTGTTTGTGTGTGAGAGGTATTAGTGCTCAGCATCAGTAATCCCCCATTAGTGGCCTTGCATTTGAGGATCCTGATCGCTCAATGTCACACAGCCCATCAAGAGGGTAAAGTACATGGTGTGTGTGTGTGTGTGTGTGTGTGTGTGTGTGTGTGTGTGTGTGTGTGTGTGTGTGTGTGTGTGTGTGTGTGTGTGTGTGTGTGTGTGTGTGTGTGTGTGTCAGAAGCACTGTATATGCCAGATAGACATGACTGTGTGACACGTGAGAAAGACTGACACTGAAAAAGATTGAGGGAAAGAGAAAAAAACTAGTCAGAGAACATGGAAGTGACAAGAGGGAGAGACTGAGAGAAAGACGTGGATAAATAAGGAGGGGGATGGGGGAGGGAGGGGTGCTGGCACCAGCCTACTCAGGGCCAGATGTTTTGCGGCTAAAAAACTAGAGATGAATCAAAGCCATGTGAAGAGATTTATTAGGTTCCCATAGGAGCCCAGGCAGTATTACATGAAGCCCGCTCTGTTTACAGTGGCAGGAACCCCTAAACCACCCATCAACTACACTACTGGCTTGGCTGGGAATGTGAAGACTTTATATTTGGACTTAT